ATCCAGTGGCTGCTATCCAGCTGAATATGAAAGGCCCCACTTGGGTGTACCCCCACTCTGCCACCCAATGCTTCCCAACTGGGGCAACTGAGAGGAGGGAAACTGCAAGAGTCGGGAGGCAATGCTGAGATCCTTAATCCTTGTCAGGGTCAACCAAGCTTTGGTGAAATTGGACATGAACCAGCCCCAGGCAGAATAAGGTTAATCTCCTTAGTTAAATTAACTAAGCAACTAGAAGATGGGAGACATGGGGGAGACCCCTCTTGATTCCCTCTAGAGTTCTAGAGCCCAACGCGGTACAGGAATGCCAGTCCTGGCTTGTGCGCATTAATCTGGAAGTTTGCACGCTAACGGTTTTGTATCAGGATACCAGGATTTTTTCCTTTATATTGTTTTATTAGGATACTAGGATAAAACTAACACACAGGAATCTTCGTGACATGAAATGTTTCATTTAAAACATTCAAGGAAGCCCAGAGCAGTGGCACACGCCTGTAATCTCATTGGCTCAGGAGGTTGAGGCAGGAGGATCGGAAGTTCAAAGCCAGCCTCGGCATCTTAGCGAGACCCTGTCAGCTCAGTGGGACCCCATCTCTAAATAAAATACAAAATAGGGCTGGTGATGTGGCTCAGTGGTTAAGTGTCCCTGATTTCAATCGCCGGTACAAAATAAAAATAAAACATTCAATGAGGAGAGGAAAGCAGAGCACAGCAGCTGGAAAAGCGTTCTGGATTGAGGGCATAGTGCCAAAGTTAAACATGGAGAGAAAACGGAATTTTCGTGAGGATGCATTTCCTTTTACAATTTCCTCACCTGTGTGGCCCTTTTGCAACTCATTCCTATGTCCTTAAATTGTACAGCATATAAAGCATCACATATAAATATGTAGTACGATGAAGAACTTGGTTGGTTTCTAATCTATTCCTATCTGCAAGTGAATACCCTCAGGATGATGAAAGAGCTCACTGGTAAGCACTTGCCTAGCATGCCCAAGGCCCTGGGTTAAACCCCCAGCAGAGGTTGGAGGGTATCTACTCTTTAAGAACAAGTTTGGCTGGCACGGTGGTGAATGTCTGTAATCCAAGCAACTCTGGAGACTGAGGCAGGAGGACTTCAAGTTTGAGGCCAGCCTCAACAAATTATTGGGGCCCTAAGAAACTTAGCAAGAACTTGTCCCAAAATAAAATTTAAAAACCAAGGATGTATGTAGCTCAGTGATAAAGCACTCCTGGGCTAAATCCCCTACACCAAAAGAAAAAAAAAAAAAAGCAAGTTTGGCTTTAATAAACTATGGTGCTACATTAAACTTCCTTGATTGGAGGCTGACAGAAGCTAAGGGCAAAAGAAAGCAGAATTTAAATAATATCATGCTTACATGTTTTTTAAAAAAATTTTAATGTATATAGATAAGTTTTTGTAGTACTGGGGATTGAACCCAGGACCTGTAGCTTAGGAGACAAGCACTCTACCAACTGAGCTACACACCTAGACCCTAGATAAGTTTTTTCTTTTTCTTTTTTTTTTTAAAGCAATGCTTTTGGAGCTACCCTGGTGGCTCAGTGGTAGGGAGCAATTTCCTAGCATGTGTGAGGCACTGGGTTTGATCCTCAGCACCACATATAAATAAAGGTATAAAAAACTTTTAAAAAAAATTTTAAAGCAATACTTATTACAAATCTTGACAAAATAGAAAACATTTAATGGACTGAGGGACAACTTTAGCAAGCCCCTGTCTCAAAAAAAAAATGAAAGAATTAGTCAGGCATGGTGGTGCCCACCTGTCTCAGTAGCTCTGGAGGCTGAATCAAGTGGATCACAAAGTTCAAAGCCAGCCTCAGCCTGTATCAAATTATAGAAAGGGCTGGGGATATGACTCAGTGATTAAGCACTCCTGGGTTCAATCTCTGAGAAAGAAAGGAAGAAAAGGAAGGAAAGAAAGGAAGAAAGAAAATTAAAGTTCTGGGGATGTAGCTCGGTGATGCAGTGCCCCTGGATTCAGTCCCCAGTACTGCTGAAAAGAATTTTCACTCAGACCAAAATCTCCAGAGCGTTTCTATTGCCCTCCCAAACTCACTCACTTCCTTACAAGACATCTTTTAATTTTTATTCAACTGTTAATTGTTATACCTTTTTTCTTCTACCACAATTTTCCTAAGAATGGTTATATTCAACTCATCCCTTACTGCAGATTCATATGTTCCCAAATATCTCAATTACAAACTGGTGCATCAAATTTCAATTTTTTTTTTTCCCTCTGTAACAGGAATTGAACCCAGTGGCGCTTAACCACTAAGCCACATTCCCAGTACTTTCCCCTGATTATGCAGAGTGGGGTCACTGTAGGAGAAGGGGTGGTGGGTCCCTCATAGCTATTGGTACCAGTCCTAGCTTACTGTCTCATAATAAAGGATGGTGGGAGGCACAGGACTCCACAGCACTTCCTGACTTCCTGGAGTCTCTCAATTAGGGGGCTGGGAATGCACAGCAACAACTAATTACAGTGGGAAAGAAGCAGTCCAGCCTTGCCTGGGTAGAGGAAGAAATCTCCCACACCTATCCCCACTCCAATCAATAGCCAGAAAAGGGTTCATCCACTGGAGGGTAATAACAGTTGGGCCAGTAGTCAGGAAGAACCAGGTCCCCAGCCTCTGATCACACAGGAAAAAAAAAAAAAATCAAGATAATAAACATGAATCCTCACACTAAGAGTAAGGAAAGGGAGGGAAAGGGAGTGAAACGAAGTTCCAACCCCCACTGCCTACAGGCTAGAAAAAGGCAGCCCTTGGCTTATGAAGTGCTGTGACCTCAAGGAAGACAAATCAGGAATAAACCAGGTTTTGTGTTTTAAGGTACTGGTGATTGAACTCAGGAGCGCTTTACCACTGAGCTAAGTCCCCAGCTCTTTTTTATCTTGAGGCAGGGTCTCGCTAAATTGTGAGACAATTTGCAATCATCCTGCCTCAGCCTCCGGAGTCACTGGGATTACTGGCGCGTGCCATTGCACGGGCTCAATTCCTCTCACCAAAACAAGGCTTTTTTAGCTGGTCGCAAATCTGTAATCTCTTTACTGCCGAGGGGGAGAATCACAGGAGTTAAACCGAAGCCAACTTTGAAAACAAAGACCTCTAGGCACCTTCTGACCCAAGAATTCCGCTTCTGGAAAGTGCGGGATAACATGAGAGGGGAATGTCTTGGACAGACTGGTCGTTGCAGTGTGATAGGTAATGAAAAAACAGCTCCCTCGATCCTGAAATAAACACCTGTGTGGCATCACATAAAACCTACAGACGACTCAAACAGGACGCCCTCCGCGGATGAAGGACCTGGGACACTGAATCTTGTGGGAATCTCAACCAGCCCAGAATATTAAGGGTGGACCGACTGAGTGTTTGAACGCCACCTGTGCTCAAGCCAGGTTCCAAGAAATCGCACACCTGGTGCTCCGCGGGAGTCAAACTACCAGGTTTAGAGCCCCTCAAACTTAGACCAGGAGCCCTGGATAGAACCGCTCACCTGTATTCCCAGGTACTCAAGGAGAGGCAGGGGAATTGCAGTTCTAGGCCAGCCTCAGCAATTTGGAGACACCGTCTCAAAAATAAAAAGTAGTGGAGATGTGACTCATTGGGAAAGCACTCCTGGGTTAAATTTAAAGTACAAAAATACTCCAGATACTTCACCATTTGTGAAATTAGTGAAATCATCAGCATCCTGCCCTTGAGGACCCAATTCTGACCATAAGATCCAAAAAAAGGATTAGGACTTTCAAAATGATAAGCTAAAATGTAGAAGCAAAACAAATGATCAGCTTCTATCCACCCTTCACATCAAGTAAAGTCAATGTTTTGTAAATTTGCTTTATTTCACGTGAAAAGACTTTATTCCAGACAAAAATTTCATTAGAATAGTTCTACAAATACATTTACCACAAAATAAACCACTATTCAAAAGGCACAGGAAAAAGTGATGTAGAGATTTAAGAATACGTGTCTTCCATCTCTTCAGCTGGCTGTCCTCATTGGTCTAATTATTGCCATCTTGTTTGTATTCAACTGGATGCTGGATAGTTTCTGGATACGGTGAACTAGCCTTCAAGAACTCCTCAAGGCGTTTTATCTTCTTAGCTGGAAGGCAAGCAACTGATAAGCATCCACAAGGACTGGGGAGAAGTTCTGCGACAGTTTCTCAGCGGAGTCCTGAAGCTGGGATCTAGCTCTAGTGATCTGCCCCAGCTGAGGTTGAATTGGACAATGTGCGCCTGAATGCATCGGATCTCCGCTGTCTTTCCCAAGGATCCTTCGCTAAAGGGATCACCAGGGCCTCTGCAGCTTCCTGGGAGTTAAGAAACTACAAGAAGTTGTGAGAAAGAGGAGGCTAAGGAGAAGCTGTAAGCCTAACGCCATCACCTGTAGTTCCTCCACACGTAGGTTCACAAAGTCCCTCACCTCGTTGGTCACGAAGTTCTCGGAACCACACTGCCAGGCTCTGGATAATGTTCTTCACCCGAGTCTTCACGCCGGGCTGCCCAAACACGGTGATTTCCACTAGTTCCCCGGTGTCCGTTGGGTCCACCCTCAGCAAGGCCTGGCTCATCCATTCCATTTCCGAGAGGACGGTTCCGTCTCGGCCTAAACAGATAAGGAGAGACTTTCAGGAGGAGCTAGATTTGGAGGGGCTGTGGGCTAGGTAAAGGGCGAGCAGGAGCCGACGGGCAAATCAACGCCGATGACCTGCGAATTTGGGAAAGAGCTTGTGCAGTCACTGTCAGCCTGTCCTACACGGGAGGAGGCGAGCCCGAGGATACCCCGGGTCAGGATGGCTCACCAAAAATCGGTTCTACCAGCCAGGGGTCCAGGTGAAACACCAGAGGTTCGTTCAGTTCCTGCGCGGAAAACCACCACGGCCGGACACGAATCGGTGGTGGCGGAACGTGAAACCCGAGCAGCCTATCCAGGGAGTGAGACGACATCCCTGACATCCCTTCGGCCCCAGCAGCTTCATCTGCACCGGAGTGGCCGAGCATGACAGACCCCAGAGAGTCCGCAGCCCAAAGAACGTGCTCCCAGTGGCCGCCTCCGGCTTCCTCCAGTCCCAGGTTCCCCCCGCCCCGCGGGCTCCTTTATATAGTGCTCGACACCCCACCCATCCCGCACCCTCCCGCTGCGCAGGCCCACTTGACACCGAGCTTCCCGCGCTACTCGCGACCCCCAGCTACTTTTGACTTGAGCTGGGTTTTGATCTCAGACGCCCTGGGGTCCTCATTTCAGCCTTGGAACGCGTCCCGTATTCTCAAAAGGCTCGTGATTCATTAACGTGTGAATTTGATTTGATGACCCTTTGACCCTGAATCACCTGTGCCAAGGTTAAGGTTTGCAGATCACCTTCTAAGCACTAGTGGGTAGATCAGACCTAGGACGGACTCCTCCAATCTGTAAAAACTTCTCAAGTCCTCCTCGCTGCTGTCTTCTGACTGTCCGGGTGGTTACAATTTTAGATTTTTATTCCACTTGAACACTTAAATGTTCAGCCCTCTGTGAATTTACATCCAGAAGTCTTAATATTGCGCTTCAGTTTATAGACGAGCCATTCTCTTATTGCAAATATCCAAAATGATCAGTCTCTTCAGGTGCAATTAAAACGAACATTTCCAGATGGTTCTACGGTACTTCAGAGCTAATGTTTAATATTAATGGGCATCAAGTTTAGTGCAAATAAAATTCTATTTAGAGGCTTAGGAAAGTTTTGACAGGGAGGCTTCCCTAGAGTGAAATCATTCCCGCCTTTCTGTCAGTACCAACGTTGGCCATTCAAACCTACTGAAACTATTAATGACAATTCTGTTTGTTACACAGGGAGTTTCCCTGAAAGACGGTTTCAGTCATTATGCAAACGAGCCCCATGCTTTATACATTGGAAAGTTCTCTTGGGGTTTACACAAAAAAAGCCGGTCAGTTCTCTAGGGAGTTGGACCTCACCTGCCTAGTTCTCTTATCAGTGAATAAACCCAAAAGAGGCACTCATTTCTTTGTGCACTAGCCACCACACATTCAACTGAGAATACTCAGGCTCAACGCTTGAGAAATTTCTTAAATTCTACTCACCAGTAATAATTTCATCACACTGATTTAATGCCAAAAAACATCAAAAAAAAAGAATCAGAATATTTCAAGCCACTCTATCATGTTTTCAACAAAACATCAGAGGTGGTCATTACAGAACAGGAAGCAAGTTAAACAAATTTTGTTTATTTCCACCATCCTAAGTAAACATGTCAATGAATATTTCCTCCATATGTTCTTAATTTTAATTAAATTTTAAATTATAAAAATTTTCACACATTCAAAAAACCATGTAACACACCCAGGTACCCTCCTTCAATTTCACAGATGTTGACATTTCCCCACCTTTGCCTCAGTTCTCTTCTTTAAAATAGTATAGCTTTGAAGGTTGAGGCAGGAGGAGGGCAAGTTCAAAGCCAGCCTCAGCAACTTAACAAGGCCCTAAAACAATTTAGCAAGACCTGGTTTCAAAATGAAAAATAGAAAAGGCTGGGGAATGTGCTCAGTGGCTAAGCATCCCTGGGATCAATCCCTAGTATCCCCAGTACAAATATATATACATATGTATAAATACACATACACACACACAAGTTGAAACACTGAATCTTATTTAGTGGCTATTTCTACCTCTAATTTTAAAAATCAACACAATAAATATTGTAAAAAGTCTTGAGGATATACAATAAAATATGAAAGTTCTCAGACACAATCTTCCTTAATCTCTTAGTATTCCTTTTTCAATTATGCACATTATGAATTTCCTTTTCCAGTATAAATTGTCTTTTTATCTTTAAGCTGTCTTTTGTGTTTTTGCCAGGTTTAGGTAGTGCATGCCTGTAATCCTAGCTAGTCTGAAGCCTGAAGCAGAGGGATCCTGGGTCACATAGCAATACTTCATTTCAAAGAAGAGAAAGAGATTGGGGGCAGGGGGAATGAGAGGAATCCTTCTTTATTGTCTGAAGAGATTCCCTCTACTTACTAAGAATATTGAAATTTCTGTCTTAACATTTAAGACAGAATCCTCAAACCATCTGTGTTTTGTTGTTGTTGTTGTTGTTGTTGTTTGTTTGTTTGTTTGTTCATTTTAAATAGTGTTGCAGAACTACAGAACCTAGGGCCTGACACAAAGCTAGGCAAGTGTTCTACCACTGAACTACACCCCCAGTTCTGGGGTTAATTCTTTTAAATTAGGGATAAGATAGAGATACAATTTCATCTTTTCATAAAATTGGTACTTTTTATTTATTTAGTACTTGGGATTGAATCCAGGGGTCCTTTACCACTGAGCTACATCTCCAGTTCTTTTTATTTTGGGACAGTCCTGTTAAATTGGTGAGACTGGCCTTGAATTCTCAATCTTCTTGTCTCAGCCTTCAGCATCACTGGGATTATAAGCATATGCCTCTGCACCTGGTAAATTGGTGTGTTTTTGTTTTGTTTTCGATACTTCGGATGGAACTCAGGAGCACTTGACCACTCAACCATATCCCCAGCCCTATTTTGTATTTTATTTAGATACAGGGTCCCACTGAGTTGCTTGGCAGCCTTGCTGTTGCTGTGGCTGGCTTTGAACTTGAAATCCTCCT